CTCTTTGTACAGGGACTCTGTGTACATGGATTCTTTGTACACGGACTCTGTGTACATGAACTCTTTGTACACGGACTCTGTGTACACAGACTCTTTGTACAGGGACTCTGTGTACATGGATTCTTTGTACATGGACTCTGTGTACACGAACTCTTTGTACATGGACTCTGTGTACACAGACTCTTTGTACGGGGACTCCGTGTACACGGACTCTGTGAACCCAGACTCTTTGTACATGGACTGTAGCACAGCAGGCATCCTTGTTTCTCACCATCTTGTTTCTCAAGAAACAAGACACTATCTTGTTTCGTGGCTACCGTTCGTGAAATAGACTTTACCATACAAATATATTTGTGTTTCTATAGGTCCCTTATTAGAAACAGAAATATGAGTATGGCAAATACATTGTCCTAGACTTTGTTTTCCCCTCTTTATAACTTTCTCTTTTTTCTTATTAATTATTTTTATAGGAGTATAGTTGATTTACAATGTTGTGTTAGTTTCCTCTGTATATTAAGTGAATCGTATTTTATTATATACATATATATTATACATCATACACATACCTATATCCATTCTGTTCTAGATTCTGTTCCCATATAGGTCATTACAATACAGAGTAATGAAAGGAGTTTTCATTCCAATCCCAAAGAAAGGCAATGCCAAAGAATGCTCAAACTACTGCATAAATGCACTCATCTCATACACTAGCAAAGTAGTGCTCAAAATTCTCCAAGCCAAGCTTCAACAGTATGTGAACCATGAGCTTCCAGATGTTCAAGCTGGATTTGGAAAAGGCAGAGGAACCAGAGATCAAATTGCCAACATCCGCTGAATCACTGACAAAGCAAGAGAATTCCAGAAAAACATCTACTTCTGCTTTACTGACTATGCCAAAGCCTTTGACTGTATGGATCACAACAAATTGTGGAAAATTCTTCAAGACATGGAACTACCAGACCACTAGACCTGCCTCCTGAGAAGTCTGTATGCAGGTCAGGAAGCAACAATTAGAACTGGACTTGGAACAACAGACTGGTTCCAAATCGGGAAAGAAGTACATCAAGGCTGTATATTGTTACCCTGCTTGTTTAATTTTTATGCAGAGTACATCATGTGATATTCTGGGCTGCCTGAAGCATAAGCTGCAATCAAGATTGCTGGGAGAAACACCAATAACCTCAGATATGCAGATGACACCACACTTATGGCAGAAAGCAAAGAACTAAAGAGCCTCTTGATGAAAGAAGAGAGCGAAAAATTGGCTTAAAACTCAACATTCTAAAAACTAAGATCACGGCGTCTGGTCCCATCACTTCATGGCAAATAGACAGGGAAACAATGGAAACAGTGAGAGGCTTTGTTTTATTTTGAGCTCCAAAATCACTGCAGATGGTGACTGCAGACATGAAATTCAAAGATGCTTGCTCCTTGGAAGAAAAGCTATGACCAACCTAGACAGCATATTAAAAAGCAGACATTACTTTGCCAACAACGGTCTGTCTAGTCAAAGCTATGGTTTTTCCAAAAGTCATGTACAGATGTGAGAGTTGGACTATAAAGAAAGCTGAGCACCAAAGAATTGATGCTTTTGAACTGTGGTGTTGGAGAAGACTCTTGAGAGTCCTTTGGACTGAAAGAAGATCCAACCAGTCAATCCTAAAGTAAATCTGTCTTGAATATTCATTGTAAGGACTGATGCTGAAGCTGAAACTCCAATACTCTGGCCACCTGAGGCAAAGAACTAACTCATGGCTGATTCATGTCAATGTATGGCAAAAACCACTACAATATTGTAAAGTAATTAGCCTCCAACGAATAAAAATAAATGGAAAAAAAATAAATAAAATAAAATATCACCCCATGTAAGAAAAAAAAAGAAAAGACCCTGATGCTGGGAAAGATTGAAGGCGGGAAAACGGGATGACAGACAATGAGATGGTCGGATGGCATCACCAACTCAATGGACATGAGTTTGAGTAAGCTCCCACAGCTGGTGATAAACAGGGAAGCCTGGTGTGCTTCAGTCCATGGGGTCACAAAGAGTCAGATGTGACTGAGTGACTGAACTGAACAGAATGTTTGTATGTCAATCCCAATCTCCCAGTTTATCCCTCCCCACTTTCCTCTTGATAACCATGTTTATCTTCTACATCTGTGACTCAATTTCTGTTTTGTAAAAGGGTTCATTTGTACCATTTAGATTACACATATAAGCAGTATCATATGATATTTGAATTAGCTTTAGTAAATTCCATTTGACAGCTATTACATTGTATTTTCTCAATTACAAGATCATGTCTTTTTTTCTTATTTTTTATTATAGTTCATTCACAATGTAGTATTAGCTTCTGCTGTGAAGATCATTCCTCTTTACAATATAACTTGGTAATTATTTCATTTCAGCATATGCAATTATCCTTCACCCCTTTTTATTTGGGGATATGCTGCAATTTAATTTGATAAGTGTTTTGCTAATACAATAATGTTGCAATTAATTTCCTTGAACTATGATATGCATATGAGTGGGATACTTACCAGAAGTAAAATTTCTGATTGAAAATATGTTCCTCTTATTTTATTTCAATAGATGGATTTGTTATTGATTATTGATTTAGTATCTCTCTTACTAGATCATGAGGTTTCTGAGGAGAGGGACCATTTCTGTTTTTTTCTCCAAAATTTGTTCATTGAACACTGTATACTATGCCATTACACAAATATATCATATTCTTATCCATCGTATTTTTAAAAATTAAAGTACAGTTGACTTACAATGCTATATTTGTCTCAGGAATAACTTTCATCACTTTAATTACATCATGACATTCTTTTCTGGCCTGCAGATTTTCTGCTGAAAAATCAGCTGATAGCCTTATGGGATTCCCATGGATGTGACTAATTGTTTTTCTCTCACTGTCCTCAAAATTCTCTCTTAACTTTTGCCATTTTAATTATGTCTTGGTGTGGATTTCTTTGGGTTCATCTTGTTTTGGACTCTCTATGTTACCTGGACCTGGATGCTTGTTTCCTTCTTAGGGAAGTTTTCAGCTATTATTTCTTCAAATACTACTTCCACCCTTTCTCTCTTCTCCTTCTGGGACACCTATAATGCGAACGTTAGTACATTTCATGTTGTCCCAAAGGTCCCTTAAACTATCCTCATTTTTAAAAAGAAATTTTTTTCTGTTTGGCTTGGGTGATTTCTATGACTCTGTCTTCCAATATCACTTACCCATTCTTCAGTATCATCCACTCTACCAGTGACTCCCTCCAATGCATACTTCATTGCTGTTATTGTATTCTTCAACTCTTATTGGTTCCTCTTTATATTTTCTAACCCTTTGTTCAAGTTCTCACTTACTCATCCATTCTTATCCTGAGTTTGGTAAGAACCTTTACAATCATGATCTTAAACTCTTTCTCAGGTAGATTGCTTATCTTCATTTCATTTAGGTCTTTTGCTTCAGTTTTGTCATATTTTTTTGTTCGAAACTCCTCTGTCTCCTGAATTTGCCTAGTTCTCTAAGTCTACTCCTATGTATTATGTAGTTGGTTACAACTCCCAATCTTGGAGAAGTGACTTGTCCTAGGGAAGCCCAGCAGCACGTTCCCCTTTGATTACCAGAGTCAGGTACTCCAGGGGTATCCCCTACATGGGCTGCATGAGCCCTTCTACTGTAGCTAGGCTGGCTGTTGCAGATGTGCTGGTAGTTGGGGCTGCCCCGGGCGCTCACAGGCTAGAGGGAGAATGGAAAAAAAGCACCCACCAGGGCAGTGTCAGCATGGTAGAGAGAGAGAATGAAAACAGCTGCCACAAGCACATCAGTTCCCAAGGGGAGTCCCAGCTGCCCCCTGTTTCTCCACAAGACTCTCTAAGATCAGCAAGTATGGCTGACCCAGACTCCTTTCAAATTGCAACTTCTACACAGGGACTTGGAGCAAGCAAGTTTCTGTACATGCCCTTTAAGGATGGCCCTCCAGCCTCTAGTTCTAAACACAGGCCCCACTGGTTTCCAAAGCCAGACAGTCTGGTGCTCATCTTCCCAGTGCAGGACCGCCAGGCTGCTGAAGTCAGTGTGGGCCTTGGACACCTGGCTCCTCAGGCAGGACCTCCACGGCTGATTTTCCTCCTGCTTGTGAGTCACCAGGCCAAGAAGGTGAATTCTGACGGGCTGTGTCTCCGCCCTCCTACCAGTCAAGCTGTGGTTCTTTATATCTTTTCTACCAGCTCTCAGGTCATTCTCAGAGATAGTTGCCCTCTAAGTAGTGTAATTCAGGTGTGACAGGGGGTGAACTTAGGATCTTCCTATTCTGCCACCTTGATCCCTCTCTGTCCTCATTTTCTGTTTTGTTGACCAGGGCAATCTAGATTTTAGCACACTCACTACTTGACATACTGCTTTATGTATTTGTAGACAGATGAGCCTATGTGCTTTATCATACAAAGTGTCAAATAGAACTTCAAAGCTACATCATTAAAAAAACACAATCTAGTTTACAGAGATAGTAATTGTTTGGGGGGGGGGCTGGTTAGTTTTTGTTTGTCTTCTTTTCATTCATTTCATCCAGTTGTTAGTTTTTTTATGTTTTCCTTTCTAACTCTAGTATATTTTCAAAAATTGTGGTGTCAATTGCAATGCATCATTTTAAGAAATATAGAATCCTTAATTTCATCTGAAAACATTAGCATGTTTTATTAAATAAATGCCTGCTTCTTAGATTTGAGTATTCTGCAATTCAGTTCCTTAGAAAAAACAAGGGAGGATAAAGGTTTATTTGTAGTTTTAAGAGACCTAATATTGCCACCTGCTGGACAAAATGTCAGAATACAGTTTGAAGCCGTTAAATCCTAAAACTTCAAATCAGTTTGCTTCCATTAATCAGGGGAAAATTTGTTATTTTACCATAGGAGTGTTTGTAATATGTAAATATAATTAAGTTTATAAGGGGTTCTCTGATGCTTTAAAAAAGTAGGGATAAAATTTTTCTTTTTTTAGGATAAAGTCATTTTGGGAACTGATTACCCCTTCCCACTAGGTGAGCTGGAACCTGGGAAACTGATAGAATCCATGGGAGAATTTGATGCAGAAACCAAGGTATGTGCCTTTTACTTCATGATCTTATTCCTGAATTTTCCTGATCTAACTGTGTTTGGTTTCAGAACACTTTGATATGGGATAGCAAAGGACAGAGAAATTGTTGCAGTTAGTATTCCTAGAACTGTTACTTGATCTTTAGAAATGGCTGATCTATTAAAGAGCAAAGGAAAGTTAAAAAGCTGAAAGTGAACCTATGACAACTAAATTCATAAAGACAAGAAAGAAAACTGTAAAGAAGCACATTATAATACTATATTTAGATTTGCATGTTAGATGAATAAGAAAACATGTTTCTATTACAAATCTACCAATCTCCAAAGTTGTAATGATTCTAGTAATTTGGATATTTAGACTCAAGTCTTGATTAACAGGACTCAGGGATGCAGAACTCTCAAGCAACTGGATGTTTTTCTTTCAGCATTTGACTTTAAGGGTGGCTAAATGTGTCTTAATGCTGACACTTCCTATTCTGCCCCTTAGGCTCCTGAAACAAACTGAGCTTAAAATGAGACAGTGTCCCCAGATTTCCTCTCCTTTGCCATCCCCTTCACATCCCATGGGATTCCCTGGTGGCTCAGATGGTAAAGAGCCCACCTTCAATGCAGGTTTGATCCCTGGGTCGGGAAGAACTTCTGAAGAAGGAAATGTCTACCCACTCCAGTATTCTTGTCTGGAGAATTCCATGGATGGAGGAGCCTAGCAGGTTACAATCATGGAGATGCAAAGAGTCAGACATGACTGAGCGACTAACACTTTCACTTTCCCATCCTACAGTGGTAAAGAATCCACCTGCCAATGCAGGAGACAAAGGAGACAAGAATCAGACCGACTGAGCAACTGAGCATGCAAATCCCATTCCACACCTGCTCCCAATGAAACAAGTTCTTCCTAAGACTTCACCACTAGGGGACAAGGATGCCAAAAATAAAAACACAGGGAGATGTAAATTCTTAAAAAATTTTACAAAAGTCTCAGTCATAACCCTTTCGTATGAGACTTGACTTTCTTCTAAACCGGGATCCAAAAGTTCTCTTCAACTCTAATTCTCTACTTTAATTGTTAGGGATACAGTTCATCGTATCTTCTTAGACAGCTTGAAGCACATTAACAGATGCCAAGAATACATTTTGATATATACTCAGTTCAGTTCAGTTCAGTCGCGCAGTAGTGTCAGACTCTTTGCGATCCCATGAGTCACAGCACGCCAGGCCTCCCTGCCCATCACCAGCTCCCGGAGTTTACTCAAACCCATGTCCATTGAGTCAGTGATGCCATTTCAACCATCTCATCCTCTGTCATCCCCTTCTCCTCCTGCCCCCAATCCCTCCCAGCGGTCACCAAGTTATTAACTGGGAAACCTCAGACTGCTTTAAACAGGAAGTGTCTCCTTTGGCACTTACTCACCTTAAGGAATTAAAAATCCTGAATTGTTAAATGGTAGCGGTGGTTTAGTCACTAAGTCGTGCCCTACTCTTGCAACCCCCATGGACTGTAGGCTCCTCTGTCCATGGGATTCTCCAGGCAAGAATACTGGAGTGGGTTGCCATTTCCTTCTCCAGGGGATCTTTCCGACCCAGGAAATTAACCCAGGTCTCCTGCACTGCAGGCGGATTCTTTACCGACTGAGCTATTAGGTAAGCCCTCGTATAATTGTTAAACATATACTTATTAAAGTAGAAAGCAATACTAAGATTTTCTTTATTTTTTTTTCTTTACTTTTTATATCAAAAGTTGAAACTGAAAAACTTCCTATAACACTAAGGAAAATTAAACTAAAACCAGACTACCCCAAGCATCCTGTTGTTGTTCAGTTGCAAAGTCGTGTCCGACTCTTCGACCCATGAACTGCAGCACGCCAGGCTTCCCTGTCCTTCACTATCTCCCAGAGTTTGCTCAAACTCCATGTCAAATATCCCGATTAGGACTTTAACGGAATAATAATAATTACTATTATATGCCTTTGGTTATTTAATTTTATATGTCTGTCACTTTCAAGTTTTCAGAAAATCTTGAATAAAAATTTTATGCAGTCAAAAATACATGATATTCTGTATTATTATATGTTACTCATCATAACATTGTAATAAAGACTAAAAACAATCTACAGGGGAATAGTTAAATAAATAATAGTATGTCTACACAATGGAGTCTATATAGCCATTAAAAAGTATTAAAGATCAATTTCTAAGATATATTAAGAAAGGTACCAAAAATGCATATGGTATACTTCCATTTGTGAAAAGGACACTATCCATTTGTGGAAAAAAAAAACTGTAAACCTACATAGAAGAATTTGCTTATATATGAATAAAAGATCTCTGGAAGAAGAGATAAGAAACTGGTAAGTCTGGGAAGAAAAAGTGGTGGTTGGGCAGTACTAGTAAAAGGAAATGTACATTTCACATCTTTTGAATTTTGAGCCACATGAAGGTAAAATTTCACTAAAAAAATTTTTAGTGAAATAAATAAATCCATTTGATGAGCACAACAACACTGGGAAATAGGCAAATGCAGTCCACCAGGTAGATGCAAAAGAGGAACACAAGACTTGGGTGTTAAGTGATTTGCCAAAAGGGTAATTGCTGGATTACAGCACATGAACTCAACTCCAAATTTCCTAACTCCGGGATCAGGTCTCTATCCAATACACCAAAATGTATCGCCTTCAAAGGATACTTGGTACCAACATATTTTAAAAAGGAAAGCAAACAGTTTTTCAGAGCACCAGCCATTATTTCTGAAGTCTTCCTTTAGAGAAGGATGACCCAGGGTGAATCACGGAAGAATCCCAAGTAAGAGGTCCTTGCCTCAAATTACCCACTCTGCAAGCCTATGTGAGAACCCTGACGTGGTCATAATACACAGATGCACACTAATGGTATGGATGTTACACAACCCCATACATGTTTCCTTCCGCCCTCAGTTGCATGCCTGACCTTCACAAGCTAGGCATAGATCAATTAGGGTATCACAAAGTTACCCCTCAAATCAGAGGAGCTTTTTCTGTGAAGCAGATCTAATAGTGGGGGAGAAGGTGAAAAAAACTTGGCAGTCTTTTTCTCATGTGAAATTTATCAATGTACATATTTGTAAAATATTCTTAGACTCTTTATACAAATCACCTTTTTGCTCCAAAAGAGCTTACCATTTATTCAGGGTCATGTGAAAGGACAACACATATATGGAGAAGGTAGTGGTACCTAAGCTGTACCTTTTCTCTGTATTTGACTCCAAGTAACTCTTAAAACTCATTGGAGGGTCCTGTAGAAGTTACCAAAGAAGTCATTTTCCTTAGGAGGGTTTTCCCTGTTAAAAGTCTCCTCCCCTCCTCCTACAACCAAATTTCAAACTTAGATTTCAAATAGAGGGACAAAGGGGGAATTAGTAAAGGCAGTCAAAAGGTACAAATTTCCAGTACAAATTTCTCACATTGGGGAACTGAGTTTTTAAAAACCTGAAGACAGTAAGTACTTTAAAACAGCCATTAAATAATGCTTTCAAGTAAAATCTTTTGTTTTCTTTTTCAGGATAAACTCAAAGCTGGCAATGCCCTTGAATTTTTGGGTCTTGAAAGGAAACAATTTGAATGACTGAATTTACTACAAAGGCAAATTTCAAGAAGACTTTTACTTTTGCTTTTAAATATGTATCACATATGCATTACTGAAATCCTATTTTGAACTTTTATCCACAAATAGAATATATCCAAATACCCTAAACTGTTCATAACAAAAATGATTCTCATGTTTTATTCTGAAAAGCAGTACATTATTTCATGTACAAATCAAAAATTATTTTCCTGCAGCCTTTTAAATTAATGGCAGAAATAAAAAGCAAAATGCCATTAATGATTCATATGAAAAAAATAACAGATTCATCCTAGAGGGTTCATGTAGGTTCTCTACTTTGAGCAAATATTTGTTAATAGGTCCTAAATAACCTGTTGTTATTCACTTTAAATACTTTCCATTAGCTCAGAAGTGGGCTGGGAATGCTTTAGATTCCAAAAAAAAATTAAAAATATACATTTTCCGTAATCTCTAGGAACTTAACAGCCCAATTGAGGCAAAATACATGTTTTTGGAATAATTACTAAGCAATAAAACATGCATGTCACAGAATTTCAGTTAAGAAAAATTCATCTGATTCCAACTTTTGGGCACATCTTCACAGAAGCTGGAACTCAAGCTGAGTCTATAAAGATGAATAAGGCATGTTCAGAGTTGGAAGATGGTAAATAGGAAGGCAAAACAATGTGAACATAGTTTCCACACGAATAAGAACTTACCTATTCTGGAGAAAAGTTTCAGTATGTAATTTACTTTTACCAGAAGCTCTTTCAATTTGAAATACTGAGCAGACTGTGTAAAGCAAGCTGTGGAGAGTGAGCAGGGCGATACCAGGGCAGTCTGTCACACTCTGCATTTCTCTTCTTTCCACCTGGTCTGCTGAAGATGAACTTGGATCTGGGAGGGATGATGAACATCTGTGGTTCAGGTACCTCTGGCTGAATTCTAAAATGTAATTGTTCAAAATTATCCGCTTGCTCTAATTGGTGGTTTTCTGGCTTGTTTTTTGTTTGCGTGTGGGGTTTTTTGGCCTTGCCGTGGCATGGGGGATCTTAGTTCCTGACGAGATTGAATCCATGCCCCCTGCAGTGGAAGGAAACACAGTCTTAACCACTGGACCGCCAAGGAAGTCCCATCCTCTTGATTCATTCATACTTCTTTTCCCTTCTATTAGTCAAGAGTTGAGGATGACAAGTAATTTGTACTGATTTAATCTTTGCTAAACTACACCCATCCTATTATTTTCTTTATTTTAGTCTATAACTCCATCTCTTTCCTGCTCCTCCTGTTGCTAAGACTTTACCCACCTAACACTTTGCTTGTTACTCCAATATGCTTTAAAAGAAAAAGTTGATTCAAACAGAAACATGAAGCATATGTTATTATTTTTTACTTCCCCATTCTTTGGGGGGAAATGTCTTGTTTCTTTTTAAATATTCTGTATTTGAGCACCAAAATCACTGCAGATGGTGATTGCAGCCATGAAATTAAAAGACGCTTACTCCTTGGAAGGAAAGTTATGACCAACCTAGATAGCATATTAAAAAGCAAAGACATTACTTTGCCAACAAAGGTCCATCTCATCAAGGCTATGGTTTTTCCAGTGGTCATGTATGGATGTGAGAGTTGGACTGTGAAGAAAGCTGAGCACCGAAAAATTGATGCTTTTGAACTGTGGTATTGGAGAAGACTCTTGAGAGTCCCTTGGACTGCAAGGAGATCCAACCAGTCCATCCTAAAGGAGCTCAGTCCTAGATGTTCACTGAAAGGACTGATGCTGAAGCTGAAACTCCAATACTCTGGCCACCTCATGTGAAGAGTTGACTCATTGGAAAAGACCCTGATGCTGGGAGGGGGGGGCAGGAGGAGGAGGGGACAACAGAGGATGAGATGGCTGGATGGCATCACCGACTCGATGGACATGAGTTTGAGTAAACTCCGGGAGTTGGTAATGGACAGGGAGGCCTGGCGTGCTGTGATTCATGGGGCCGCAAAGAGTTGGACACGACTGAGGGACTGAACTGAACGGAACATAGTGTTTAACGACTGCTTTATTATGAAAAGTAACTTGATCATCTCATTCAATGTAATTTTAACATATAGATAAATACATAGTTTAAATAGATTTGGGGTATATTCATATTCACAGAGTATTTATGTGATATGCCAGGATTGTAAGGCAGTTCCACACACTGGGGACATAGAAGTTAACAAAGAGGATAAAATTTGTTCTCTGATGAAACCTACAACCTGGAGGGTAAGAAAGTATAAATAAATAAAGGAGGGAGGACAAAGAAGGGAGAAATGGAGAGCAAGAGGGAAGGAAGAGGGAGAGAAAAGAAGGGAGGGAGAAAACTTTTCTTGTACTGAAAATCATTATGCAGAAATTAAAACAAGAAGATGTATAGAATGACTTGGGGAAGGATGGGAGATAAAACATTAAGTTGTAGGGCCAAAGAACACCTGTTTAAAGAGGACTTTGAACTAAGACTTGAGTAACAGAAAGAAATGGCCATGGAGAAGAGTCTTCCGGGGAAGGGCTAGAGCAGCAAAGGCTGTGAGGCGAAAGAGCTGGGGAAGAGCTTGTGAGAAGGGAGAAACAGGGATGAAGCTGGAAAGCTGGCCTGGTAAGTGAGCTGTGGTCTAGAGTTTAGATTTTCATATTAAGTTTTTTACTAAGCCAGTGGAGTTTTTAAAATAGGTTTGTGACATGCTCTGTCTTTTGTTTTTCAAAAAACACATTAACAGTTCTGTAGAGAATTATTTTAAGGCGTCAAGAAATGATGGTGACTTGGGCAAGAGTAGTAGAACGGGAACAGTGACATGGGGTTGTAGGGAGAAGCAACAGCACTTGAAAAATGTGAGGACAAGGGCAAATGGGAAGCAAAAAAATCAAGGCTGATTCCCAGGTGTCTGTGTGTGTGCACCACAGTTTGTTCAGTCTCTTACATTTGGACATTATATGTAATTTTCACTATTTTGCAATTACAAATAATGCTACAATAAAATTAGGTTAATTTGTCATATCACACATAAGGGTAACTCCAACATAGATTTGATCAAAGATTTAACTCCAAGATAAAGCGAGACTATGCAGACACTAGAAAAGATGAGAAACCTCCTCTTTAATCTGAATATAAAGAAGGGCTTTCTAATGACGTACTTTCTGTGCAATAATTCTGGGGACATTTAGCCTCTGAAATGTAGCTAAGGCTATTAAACTCATCCATACTTTAGACAGATGCCTTGACTCCTAGTTTTTTTCACTTGAGCACCTGGGTTGATTTATTTTACCATTGTGACGAAGACTGACAAAAACAGGTTTGGGAAGAAAGAGAATCAATAGCTCTGCTGTTGGACTTAGTATATTTCATATGTGTCTTAGACATTTAGGTAGGAATGTCCATAAGCAGTTAGGTACACTGTTTTGGGGAGTTAAAGAGGGAAGTTGGGAAGAGGCCATCAGTGTATACAAAGTATTTAAAGAAATAAGACTGGATGAAATCACTGCCAGAAAAAGTAAAGCAGAGAACCAAAAGAACCCAAGACTAATTACTAGGATTCACCAGTACTGGAAACTAAGTAGTGTCCAGTGAGGTAGGAAGAAAACCAGAGAAAACGTAGTCAGAAGTAAGGGGGAGACAATGTTTCAAGAGTGCAGGGACACACATTGGATCCCTAGTCCAGAAAGATCTCAATGCTTTGGAGCACCTAAGCCCATGAGTCACGACTACTGAAGCCCTTGCACCTAAAGAGCTTGTGCTCCACAACAAGAGAAGTCATCGCAATGAGAAGCCCATGCACTGCAGCAAAGAGGAGCCCCCGCTTGCCACAACTAGAGAAAGCCCACGCACAACAACGAAGGCCGCGTGCAGCCAAAACTAAAGTTTTTAAAAAATCTTTTCAATACGTTGGTACTTGGTACTTGGGGGAAGAATCATACGCTCTCAATATAACTCAATCCCTTTATCTCAAAATAGTTCCACTTCCTATAGCCCAATTCTGATCAATAGCATCACCCAGTCACTTAAATTTTCTTCTTCACCCATATCAAACCTGACATTAAGTCCAATAGATTCTGCCATTTTTATATCTTTCACTTCTTATCTATTCTGTCTTCCCTAATGCTTCCAACTAGATTTGGGTCCTCAACTCTCATCAAAATTATTGACATTATCTCTTATGTATATTCCTGCTTCTTGGCTTAGTCTGGCATAATTCATCTTTCACCCTACGGCCAGAGAAAAATTTCCAAGTATGTATCTAATAGCATTGCTCTTTCTCTAGCTCTCTTTAAAATTCCTCAGGACCTAGAACAAAGGTTTCTAGGCTTTGAGATTTCATTCATCAGTATCTTCCCCTTTTAAAAGTTGTACTGATATTGCTAATAGCAGACACTTCTCAATTTGAATTGCAATTACTATCTTCCCACTAGACTGGAACTTCCTTGAGAGCAGAAACATGACTTAATTCACTTATGCACTAATTCACATGCATTCAACAGTATTTACTGAGGGTCCAGTATGTACATACACTAGGTGCTGGGATAATGTAAGTAAAAACAAACATGGTTCCTGCCCTCAACTGCGCTTATAATCTAGTTAGGGAGACAAGTATCAAACAAGTAACAAATTAATGTAAAACTGCTACTGTGACAAGAGCTAAGAAGGAGACACACATAGTGTATAGAGAGCTTAAAATAATGTGACATGAGCCCATTAGAGTTGGGGAGAGAATTTTCAGAACTGTTGCTTCAGCTGGGTTCTGAAGAGCAGACAACAGCTAAAAGGTAAAGAGGCAAAGAAGAGAGGGAAGAGAACAGAGGGAAGAGCATAGATGAAAGCCTTATGGCAGGAGGGAACACAGCAGGAAAGGATACCACAGGGGCTAGAGGTGAGAAAGCAAGACACTCTTGGTACAAAGAGACAAGATCACATGGAGCCATATGTTGGTTTGAGGAATTTTATCTATCAAAAGGCTGAGGTTTTTAATTAGGATATAACTAGTTGAAATTTGAAAAGACCCTTCTGGCCCTAAAACGGCACTTATCACACCCAAAATCTCAAAAGTCTCTCAAGAAAATCCCCCTTTTAGGCTTTTCTCTCCCATCTTATCTAGTATATGTACTTCTCCAAAACATACCCATGGCGGGGGGGGGGGGGATCCCACCACCATCAGATTCCAAAGAACAACTCTTCATAGGACACCCAAGTATTTCTCTTCCTTGGACTGGACCCTTCTCCAAATTTTCTATCTCCCCTAAAAAGGAAGCCAGTTCTCATTCAACCCAATATTTATTACCCAACCAGAAAACTTACACCTATATTCATCTAGAAGAATGATACAAATCAATTTACAAAACAGAAAGAAAGTCACAGACAGAAAACAAACTATGGTTACCAAAGGGGAGAGGGATAGATTGGGAGATCGGGATTGACACATATGCACTGATGTATACTAAATAGATCACCAACAAGGACCTACTGTATAGCACAGGAAACTCTATTCAATATTTTGTAATACCCTATAAGGGAAAATAATATGAAAATGAATATATACATATAAATAAAATATTATATACAAATAAAATGCTGTTGTTGTTTAGCTGCAACATCATATTTTACTTAGGACTCTTGTAGCCCCATGGACTGTAGCCCGCCAGTCTCCTCTGTCCATGTGATTTCTCTGGCAAGAATACTGGAGTGGGTTGCCATGCCCTTCTCCAGAGGATCTTCCTGACCTAGGGATCAAACCCATGTCTCCTGCATTGGCAGGCAGATTCTTTACCACTGAGCCACCTGGAAGGCCCAAAATAAATACATACATACATAAATAAATATTTATTTATTGAAATGTAACTGGATAGACCAAAGTTTGTTCAGGCGTTTCCATAACATGGGAAGACCTGAACAAATATTTTGGCCAACCCAATATATAGTTGAATCACTAATCAAGTGATGGACACTTGAAACTAATCAACTAA